GAGAAGCTTTACACCATCCTTCAATGGTAGCTTTCTCAGCCTTGAGTTCAGCGATTGCTCGCTCACGCTCAGCGACAGCTTTCTCACTTTCAATAGTGATAGCCTGGTTTACAATAACCTGATCCTAAAGATTTTCCTCAACAGAGGTCAGTTCTTTGATCTTAGAATGACAAATCTTTAATTGCTCATGAAGATCAACGCTAAGCATTTCAGCTTTAGATTAGCCATTGAGGGCATTGTAAAGGTCAACCGTCAGCGTATCCAGTGCAGAAAGACTAGAAGAATGTTCATTCAGGGTACATACCTGAGTAACAGAAAATGGCTCAGAAGAGGTAGATGCTTTAGAAGAACCTTCGTGAGCATCAATAGCCATCAAGCAGACATAAGATTTATCTTTCTCGTCAGAAGATGATTCATCAGATGATTCAGTCCAGTCATGCTCTTCAGCAATAAGGCCTTTAGCCTTTCGCTGGTTTTTCTTCATCTTCTTGTATTTCTCCTTCAGTTTTAAGTATTTATCATCTTTTGTCCTGAAGGAGAAAGAGGCTTTAGAAGATGGCATCGCAGTCTTCTTGGATCTGCATTCACCTGCAAAATGTTCGGGCCGGTGACAGTTGTAACAGACAGCTGAAGCCTTGTCTATTCTTTCAGACTTTGGCTTCTCCCTGAGGGGTAGCTGAGGAAATCTGTGCAAAATGCTTTTACTGGCGAACCTCCTAAATGACTTAATCAGGAGTGCTAGGGACTCATCAAAATCTGTTAAATCAGATTCAGGAATGTCTTCAGAAGAATCTATCTCCGTGATGACCACGGGAGGTAGAGAAGAGACAAAAGGAGTAGAGGTTTCAACTGAAGAAGATTCAGAGATCAAAGCTAAAGGAGAGCTTTTCATTTCCCTGAAATCTCTTACAAGATATCTTTTCAGTTGACGAGATTGCTCATGGTTAAGCAGGATCTCGTATAAGGTAGAAAGAGAAAGAGTGGACATGTCATTTGACATCTTGAGACATATGGAAAAAGTATCCCAAGACTCAGGAAG